ACCCCCGCCCCCGCCACCTAAGAGCATTAGGAAGCAGGCTGCAGGTGCCAAAAGACCTCCAGCTCCATCTGGTCAGGAAGAGGGCCAGCCACCCACCTGGAGTCCCAGGAGGGCACCCCAGAGCCCCTGTTTGACAGCCCCCACTGCCAGCCACCATCCTGGAATCCTTTAGTTGAGGCCCCAAGGCCAAGTGTAAACTGGAAGCTCCTGGCAGCCCGGCAGCCCGGGGGTGCAGAAGCCGGGAAGGAGTCTGGTGCTTGAGGTGCCCAGCGTGAGCACCCAGAGGGGCACACTCACAGTTCACCGACCCCCAAAAGCGGGGGACTCAGAGACGCACACATCTGTGCCCACATTCCAGTGCAAGGACCACCCTGCCCATCTGCCCCACATAGGAACAAGGAAGGGTTTTGTCTTGTTTCAAATCCCATCGCTGGCTCTTTGCCAAGGATGTCCCCTTCTCTGTCTGGGAGGGGTTTTCATATTTTCTTCATCGGGCTGGGGAGGGGCTCCGGGAGGTTGGAGGCAGAGCTAGAACCTTACAGAACCCCCTCACCCCCTCCCCGCGGGTGAGAGTAGAGGGCTCAACTCACATCAATGCCATCCTTGCCCGGTTTTCCAGGAGGCCCTTGGGGGCCAGGGGGGCCTCGAGGTCCCACTTTCTGAAATGGAGAAACTCCAGGTTAGAAAGCCTTCCTCCCCCTGCCCCTCTGTGGCGGGTCCTCACTGGTCGCGGCTACGGTAGGCCCCGACAGAGCGCCCCCTCCTTGTGGGTCAGGAGCAGTGCTGAGGCTAGCCAGGGGCCCCATAGGGCAGCCCTCGAGCTGCGACCATTGCCCACCTCAGAGCCCCCACAAAGCCCAGGCCACGAAGCGCTGGACGCTGGCGCACAGTTCATCTGTCTTCTGTGTCCCAGCCCCCTGGCCTTCAGGGAGCCGCCAGGCACAAAGGCGACGTTGTGTGTCCCGGGCAGTGGCGGCAGCACCCAGACCCCGGCCAGCGGGCAAGGACCGGGCAGCCCCTGGACTCATCCTGAGGCATCCCGGCACTCGTGGGGCACAGTTAGGGCACCCACAGCTCCTGCACCCCGTCGGCAAAGTGGGTATGGGCGACAAAGCTGTGCCACCATGGCCTGGGCTTGGCTGCTTGCCCAGGTTGCAGGGGGTGGGGGTCGTCCCCTTGGCTGAGCCCCTGATGACTAAGCTCAGAGCCCCTGACCCCAAGCCCCCGTCAGCAGCTCGCTTGGGGACCGGGGTCCAGTGCCCCATGGCCCGGCCTCACCTGCATCTCGGTCACAGCCAGGAACTGCCCGATCAGGAGCAGGGCCAGCGCGGGGGCTCCGGCCATGGCTGTGTCCCGGCTCCGCGTGCTCTGTGCTCTGAGCCGGCTGGCTGTGGTGCCAGCAGGAGCCACAGCGGGCGGGGCGGGAAGGACGCCCGAGCACGCCCTGCCCCTCCCCCCGGCCGCCTCACAAGCCCCCCATTCAGCCGGGCCCACCTGGGGGGTAGGCGGAGCTCAGCTGCCCCTCCCCGCCACCCGCAGCCCAGCCAGTCGCCAGCCAGGGGGAAAAAAAAGAACCCGGCGGCATTTTTCTGGGCAGCCTCTGAGTTAAAATTATCCTGGGACCGGCGAGCTGCACACAGACACCTTTTAGCAAAACAGAAAGGCGTGCTTTTCTCTCCTGTGCCTCAAATAGTGTGCAGAAAGGGGGAGGAATTCCACACTGAAGGGCTGCTCTTGAGAAGGCGCTGGAGGAGCCTCCCTAGTCCCAGAAATGGGGTTTAGGAGTCACATGCCTCTTCCCAGGATGAGTGGGCCCTAAAACCCAGGCACATCCCCAGAGAAGGTGAACGGGCCTGTGCAAGGAGGTCAAACAGCCTAGCAGCTCCCTGGTCTCTGCCATTGTCCTGCCGGGGGCAAACGCCTAGGGCCATGCCTGCTGGGCTGGGCACCCCTCAGGACCCTTACCCCTAAACCCAGACTATACCCAGTGAACGAATGCAGGCATCTGTCCATACTGGCCACCACAGGCAAACGCCAGCCTCTCATCTGGGACCCTCTTCTTCTGGCAGCAAGACGGAAACACCAACATGACTCCAGGCCCTGCACAAAATTTGTCATGAAGAGGAACCCCAAGGCTGCTGTGGGCTGTTCCCACTTCTTACAAGCCTTGGGCATCTCAGGGGTCACCAGGTCTGTACAAGCTCCACCCAACCCTGGGGAGAGGCAGAAGAACAGCAGGGTAAGGGGTAGTACTGTCTGCCAGATGGCCTCAGTGACCACTCAGGGGCGGCGGGGGGGGGGATTCTCAAACATCTAAGTCACCTGTAGGGCGTGTCCAAAATGCAGAATCCCAGCCCCACCCCCCGGCTCTGAATCTTTAGAAATCCCAGAGAAATGCTGCTTTAGAATTGATAGGACACTGTATGAGCTTCATTTCTGCAGGTGGGAACTCATGGTGTTTGAGATGATGTGGATTATCAGAGGAAGTGGATGAAACAGAGTGTGTGTGGAAACAAAATAACTCAGTTAAGGTGTTGTTCTAATCTTTCTTAAGACTGGAGAAATCTTCTCACTTTCTCCTTGGATAGATTACTGTTGGCTGCTCACTCAGGTGGGAGGGGCTTGTGTGAGTGAATGATCTCAGGAAAGGAAAAGAGAGAAGCCTGAAATGTCCTGCCCTCTCGGGGGTCCAAGAGTCATCTGGGGACAATCTCCAGGGACACAGGCCTTATGACATGAAGGGGGAGGACGGCAAGTCACTTCCTTGGCAGCTCAGCCAGCCAGAGATTTCCAGCCTCCACACCCCACCCCCAACCCTGGGGACTGTTCCTTCCCAACGCCATCAGTGCAGGCGGGAGATTCGCATGTGGCTGGCCCTCCCCCTCCTCTCTCTACCTCGTCCCACTCTTCCAGGCCCTGACCCCAGCCAGCTCTGCCCCCCACTCCCACGCCCAGCACCCAGCTGGCCAGAGTGAGGGCTCCCGCTGAACAGACCCAGGGGAAGCACAGCTGGCCTTTGCTTCGGTTGGGGCAACCACCTGGTGCTTGGGATCCAGCTCCCCCTCCCCCCCCTTTCAGCCCCCCCCAAAGCTACCCCAGCTCCGGGCAGACCCTCCTGTGAGGTGAGGCGATGAGGTGGCTGCAGGGAGATGCTCTATCCTTGAAGAGCTGCTTTGCGTCGCTTGGTAGGCCACACCCCAGATAGCGAGGCCCTGGTGGAGGGGTTCTGCCTGGGCTGGTGAGCGGGTGGCAGGCGGCTGACCCACACCCACCTGCTGGAGTCTAGCCTCCCTGCACCATCTTTGATTGGGCAAAGTGCACAGCACTGCCCACCTGCCTCAGGACATCAATGCCCCAAAGCTTAGAGGGCGGGGTAGGCTGGAGCTGCCCACCCACCCCTGCATGCCCACCCCAACACAGGGCCCACCCTGCCAACAGCTGCTCTTATGGGACCCACTCCAGGCTTGGAGAGTCTCCTTCCAAACTTGAACTCTGGCCACCAGGGGTCAGTGGGAGCCCAGCCTGCTAACGTGACTCTTGCGAGACCCCAGCTCTCAGTGCCCAGTCCCCCTCCATGGCAGAAACCCCATCACTGAGTTAAACCGAAGCCCAGCCTCCAGGGGCCCCACTGCTTCCAGCGGGTGAGGGTGGGAAGAGAGGAGGGCCAGTGTGAAGTGACAGAATGCAGGGACTTCCTGTTTGTCCATCCTCCCACCCCGCCCCACAAAAACAGAAACTCGCAGGAGAGAATGAGCAGCAAACTTCACGGAAGTGGAGGCTGGACTCGCAGCTACCACCGCTGTTGAGCTGATTCCAACTCACAGCAGCCCTACACGGCAGACGAGAACTGCTGCATAGAGTTTCCGAGGCTGTAATCTTTACAGATGCGGACTGCCACATCTTTCTCCCAGGAAGCAGCTGGCTGGTTAAAACCGCTGACCTTTCAGTTAGCAGCCAAGCACTTAACCCCTGTGCCACTAGGGCTCCAGAACGAATGATGCCCCCTCAGAACCCAGCAGGTTCTGACCTCTAGTAACCTCATCCCCAGGGCAGCCAGGAGTTGGGACCCTCCTCTGAACCCCCGTTATACTCAGGGAGGGGTCCTGGCTCAGGAACAACCAGGCTGAGGGTCACCAAGCCTTCTGGGAGGGAGCTGTTGGATTGGATGGAGCCCAGGGGGCCTAGAGAGGGTGGCATCTTGTGTGGAGGGCCAGCTTTTGGCGGGGCGGGGAGGCAGGGAGACACAACTGCAGAAAGCCATGCTGAGCTGGCTGCCCCGGCACATCACATACCCCAAAGTAGGACAGGCAGAGCAGCCCGCTGCAGGCCCAGGGGGCCTCCAAACGCCCCTCTCCAGCACACTCAGCCCATCTACGGGGCCACGCACGAGTCCTCACTCACTGTGAACTGTTGACAAGACAAAGGGACCAAGTGTCCAGCCCCCAGAGACACTGCGGCTGTGTGCTCAGCTCAGAAGCTGTTGAGTGGGAACCTAAACTGCTGTGTAAACCTTCACCCCAAACACCAAATATTAAAAAAAGCGTGTCTGTGCTCGGCGGTGTGCGGGAGAGAGGCTCCGGCGTCTTGTGCGCTGCGGGGCAGTGACAGCCTGGAGGACCGCCCACTGGGCAGAACCGTGCTGCAGCCCCACAAGGCCACTCTGAACCCAAGGGGAGGAAGCAAGTCCAGAGACCACCCACCACTGACAGGGTCCCATTCATGCCCCCGAAACTTGAAGTCCAATGAGTTTATTCAGAAAAGGACCCGGCACCACACTAAGAAAATGAGCCCCTACCCCAGTCCCCTAAGGTCAATTTACAAAGATAAAGAAGGACTGGGGCAGGAAACAGCCGGAAATCCTCTCCTTCGAGGTAAGAATTCTGCAGTCCGTATTTGACCTCCCCAAGGGGTCTCGGTCTTCCCTGGGGGGTGCGTGTGTGTGCTGCAGTGACCTGACCCGCACCCCCCCCAGGGAGAGGCCAGCACTGCCGGGCGCTGGGAAAGGCAGACAACAGGGCTCCCAGGACCCTTGTCCCCAACCCCTCACCGGCAGGGCTGCCTCGAGGTGGCTGGAGGTGCAGCCTGCACCCCCTCCTCTATGGCTCTGTGGGTGTGGCTAAAGGCCCCGCCCCGGCCGCTGCCCCTTCATCCACTTGGGGCCCGGTGGTGGCCTGGGCTGGGCCCTCTGCAGGGCTCCCGGGAGCACTCTGCTCCTCCCCTGCCGCGCCTTCTGCTTCCTTGCCCACACCACTCTCGCCCTCTCTGGCTTCGGGTCCCTCTGATGCAGCCGGGCCTGAGGTGGGAGCCGGCATCTGGGCCTCACCACTGGCGGCTGCGCCCTCGTCCACCTTCCGCCGCTTCCTGACCTCATCAGCAGCCACCTTGGCCTCCATGGGCTGGGGGCAGGGCCGCTCGTCTTCCTCGGTGTCCTGGGCGCCCACCCCGAGGCTGCCCTGACTGAGGGCGCACCCCTCCAGGTTCAGGGCTATTTTTTCCACCTCCGAGGCGCTCTGTGGGCCTGGCTCCCCTGCGGCCTGCTCAGGCCGGTTCACTTCCAGTTTCCTCTTCTTGCTCTCTTTGGGGCTTGACGGCTCAGGCCCCTGCTCACCGCACGCATCCACCTCGCTGGGCGCATCTTCCGGGTCTCCCTTGGAGGATTTTGCCTCCTGGGGCGCACTGTCCCCGCCCGGCCCGCAGGTCCGACCTCGGGCGCTGGCCTCGTCGAGGGGTCCCCCGGGACTGTCATCCTCTCGCTGGCGGGTAGGCGAGCGGAGGGGGAGCCGCAGCAGCTTGTCATGTGGCGCCCAGACGAACTTGCAGCGTGGCCGGAAGTGTTCCCAGGCGAAGCGCAGGAGCGCGCGGCGCTGGCGGCGGCAGCGCACAGCGAACACAAAGTAGTCCAGCGCGCTCTGACGCACGGCAGGCAGTTGCCGGCACACCAGCGTCTCCTTCAGGAAGAAGCGCGCCAGCGGCGCCTGGTAGTGATCCAGCCCCAACTCGCCCAGCGACTTGAGGATGCGCGTGATGCGGAGGTTGTTGTGGCTGTGCCTGGGGGGTGGGGTGGAGTGAGCTGAAGAGTCCCGGGAGGGGCTGCCCTACCAGGCCCATCCCTGACTAGGGCAGCCGGAAGGCTCCACCCCCACACCTCCGGGAGCCTAGTGCCCACCAGTGACTCCAACCCACCCCGCCTCCCTGGGCCCAGGGTGTGGCCTGTGGGCAGGTGGGTTAGAGTTCTGGTGCCTGGTCCAGAAGGGCCACGGGCTCTGGGGCTGTCTCCATGGTCCAGGTCCTCCCCCTGCCCTCTGGGGAAGAGCATGGCTTGAGGCGGCCCAGGGCAGGGGTGCAGGGGTGGCCGTGCCCCCTGCACAGAGAGCCCCTGCGATCCCATTCCGTCTGCCTGGAGGCCCTCGGTCGGGGTCTGATACCTCCCTTATTAGGGAGTCTGTGCTGGCCATATCCACAGGGGTGCTCCTGGCATTTGGGGGTGAAGCCAGGGCGCTGCAGTCGATGGTGCCCCTGAGAAACCCTGACTACCCTGTGGGCAGGCAAGAAGCAAAACTGACACATGCGGTTTCCTTAAACTCCCCCACCCTGTGGTCAGCGCCCCACCGTCCACCAACAGAGATCCTTAGTTACTTGCCCAAGTGCTGGGGCCTCACACTGCAAGTGCCCCGCCACACCTGCCTGAAGCCACCCCAACTGGAAACCCAGCCCGGCAGGGCGGGGCGGGTGGAAGGTGCCCGGCCTCACCAGTTTAGGTTCTGGAAGCGCTTCTGGTAGTTGTGTGCGCGGCACACTGCACCTGTGACCCGGTCCTCCAGCTCGACCCCGTAGAAGCCCAGCATGAGCTCGTAGGCCAGGACGAACCGCTCCATGACCTCCGGGCAGCTTTTGAATGCCTGGAAAACCCGCGGAGCGCTCAGACACTGTCGACGATCCTCCCAGGGAGTGTCCCAGGCGGTGTCAGGGTGTGGGCATATCCAGAAAGCTGGCTTCGGGAAGAGCGAGGCCTAGACTCTGACTTTCAGGGCGAGATGGTGACCATGGGGGCACACTGACGCCTCCGCGCCGCTCCAGGCCTTGCCAACCGCGCCGTGGGGACCCACGCGGGCAGGGAACACCTGGCCCCCCTCAGTGAGCCTCCGAGGTGCAGCTCGGCCACCACACCCCTCTGGCCCTCCAGGGGCGGCTCCTAGACTCAGCGCCCCTACTCGAGCTGAAACCAGGGGCGATGAAGGCAAAGTCCTTGTCACTGGTCCTCCCCTGGCCTCTGCCCCTGGCGGCCTCAGGGAGCACCACAGGGGGGCAGGGGGGCAAGGACCACTTTGGGGGAAGAATAATTAAACTGGGGCTCCTTCTGCTCCTGCCACATTCCAGCCAGCTCCTGAGTGTGCTTGGGCTGCGTGCAGATTCTGACGTAATCCCCCAGCCTCCCAACCGGCACCCAAGAACCAGGGCTCACCTCGATCTCCCTCAGCGTGAGGGGCTTGGCGTGCCAGTTCACTCCTGGTTCCCGCAGAGGAAAGAGCCTGCGGGAGAAAGTCGGCTCAGCCCCAGATAGAATCCTGCCACCCGCTGCCAGTCAGCCTGGCCACACGCTCGCTGAGTGACATGGGCAGACCCCCACCCCCACCAGGCTTACGTCCTCTTCCCTAGAGAAGGGGGCTGCCTGGGCAAGGACCTAATGCCCAGGGTAAGGGGTGTGGGCTGGGTCGCTGGCGCTGGGCCTGCAGGGGTTCACTGTCTGCTCAGCATGGGACCTGGAGGGAGAACTCAGTCAGGCTGGCAGAGTGGCCACTTCAAGTAGGCAGGATGGGGGGCTGTCTTTTTTATTCTTTGTTCTCTCTCTTCCAGGGTCCCTTGCAGGTCAGGAGGGGCTCCCCGCTCGCATGCTCCCTGAGACTGCTGTCCTCAGCCCCAGGTGCATGGCATGTCTGGGATCTCTCCCAAGCACGCTAGCCACCAGCCCCGTCACGTGAGCTTTCCTGGACATTCGCTCCCAGCTGCCCCTGTGGGCTCACAAGGACGTACCTGGGGCCTGAACTACCCCTTCTCCACCTGCACCCCCACAAGAGCCAGCCCATCGCCTCTAGGACAACGGGGTGACTGGTCCAGCAGGCATCTGGTCTGCGGTTCTTCCCGCCCCCCAAGTTCACTTGGGCCCCTAACCACAGGGACTGCTGGACTAAAGCCCCCCAAGACCGTGGCACAGGCTGGAGTCCTCTCCCAACAGTCCCTGGCCCCACGGCTCTGCGATAAGCATCCAGGGCGCCTGGAACGTGGACAGAGCTCCTGGAAGGCCGGCGAACCAGCTCAGGGAACACAGGAGCCAGGGGGAAAACTAGCGCTGCCTGGGGCACGCCGAGGACCCCTCCTTCCCCAGGGCCACAGAGGCCCCCTCCCCTCTGCGCTCAGCTGCCCCTCTCCCTGCACCCCTCCCTCACCACTGGATGTAGGAGTGATTGTCCTCCAGGAGGTCGTAGTCGTCCCTCCAGTCCTGGAGAATCTCCTCAATGAAGCAGCCTGGGAGCCCCAGGAGACAGGTCAGTGTGGACCACCAAGGCCCCTGCAGACCACCCACCGCCCTGGGCTCCAGGGATGTCCCAAGGATTACAGCTGCTGCCTGATTTCAACCCCCCAACTTTGGTTCCTGGCCCCTGCAGCCTGGACACAGAGCCTTCTAATGTGCCAAGGGTGACGCTGGGTGGGTGGGCCACAGCTCCTCTGCAGGACAGCTGGCCCCACCCAGCCCCATCCTTGCAGACGAGGCACAGGTGGCCCCTGGCATCCCCAGTCCTCGTCTGTGAGGCCAGAGCCCTGTCCCCAACAACCCTCCAGTTGAACTCAGCCTGTCACCTGGTCTAGGGTGGGGCTGGCACACTGTTTCCACAGAGGACCTGCCGGTCAGGGCTGCTGGCTTTGTGGGCACGTGGCCTCTGCCACTGGAGTGCCAAAGCAGCCGTGAACATGCAGAGGAGTGGGCATGGACGTGTGCCCACAAAACTTCAGCAAGGGACACTGAGAGTTGGATCTTATGTAACTTTCACGTGCCACAAAATACGATACTTTTAATTTTTTTCCAGCCAATTAAAAATGTAAAAATTGTTCTTAGCTCCTATTAGTTTAGGAGTAACAGCTCTGCTGCTATCAAGGGTCAGGTCAGAGCTGGGTCACTGCTCAGAAACTCTCTGGCCTTTCTATCCCTGGGCGGTGCACATGGCTGAGTACTTGGCTGCTAACCAAAGGGCTGGTAATCCAAGTCCACCCAGAGGTACCTTGGAAGAAAGACCTGGTGATCTACTTCCTAAAGATCACAGCACCTGGAAACCCTGTGGAGCCCAGTTTTATTCTGACACACATGGGTCGCTGTCGGTTGGGGGCTGGCCCCACCCTAGAGACTCAGCTGGAAGACTGGGAGTCCTGGGGGGTGGCCTCCAGGGAGTGCTGTGGAGGCACGTGACAGCTACCGTCCCACGTGGGGACCCAGCCCAGGAGTGGAAAGAGGAACACGCAGCATCGAAGCCCAGACACCCCACCAGGCCAGGACAGCACAGCTGGTGGCTGAGGTGGCCACGCACCATTTGGCAGGAACCGGATCTCGTTTTTGTAGAAACTCAGGTTGGGCATGTCCCCATTGCTGTCTCGTTGTACCAGATCCTGCAGAGACACGGGGCGGTGGGGATCAGAGGCAGGCACCCAAGGCCTCACCAGAGCGTCCCTGGGGGCGGTCGGGGGGGGTGGTCTGCTCTCGGGACATCCTGACAGTTCGCCCGAGACTCCCAGGGTGCCGGCCTGGCCCCTCGCCCACCGGCGAGGACTTTCCTCCAAGCTCGAAGCACAGGAGCCCCTCTGGTCACCAGCAGGGGGCCGTTGGTGGCCACCCTCGGCGGGCGGGCGGCCGGGAAGCCCCCTTTGTCTGTGATCCAGAGGCAGTCCGTGGGTGCAGAGGGCAGGGTGACACTCCCAATCCCAAACTAGAGGACAAGGATGACCACCCCAGGGAGACTGCAGTGAGGTAGCGGGTGGGGGCAGTCCCCGTGGCCAGACGTAGCCCAAGCGGTGTGATGACATCCCTGATGTGCAGCGTGACGCCGGTGTGTCTACAGGCAAGGGCCCCAGCTCAGAGGGGAGGTGATGCGCCAGCCACCGTGACAGGGAGCAGGGGTATGACCTGTATCAGGTCGGGCAATGGCAAGGGCAGCATGGAGCCCTCTACCCGGCAGGACTCGGGGACACTCTGAGAACACGGGCTGGCAGGCCCTATGGCCCCACTGTCCCCGCGAGGACCTCCGGGGCTGGCCCTCTGCGGCGAGGGCCGGGAGGCGACGTACCGGGTAGTGGTGCCGGTACCTGCGCATGTCCTGCATGGCCCGCCAGTTTCGGGAGCCCAGCATCCTGGCCTGGGGAGAGACGAGACGGGATGAGAACCCCGCGGGAGACCTGGCCCCCAGCAAGCCACGGTGGGTGCAGCAGGACCCCGCCTCTCCCAGCTCCTCCTGCCAGTTCTTCCCTCAGCTTTTTTTATGGGCACCCCAGTGTCCTGTGCAGAGCTAGAGGGGGCCAGAGCTGCGACCCAGCCTTGCTCTCTACCAGGCCTAGAGCTCCAGGCCCCTCCCCACCCTGTGACCGTCATCGCTGCCCTGCCCCCGCAGGACTCACACCCCACCCCCAGCATTGTAGATATCTAGGCAGCAGAGAGGGCAAGTGTTGGCCACCAGGCAGGCTCAGGGACCCTGCTAGGTTCTGGGGTCACCCTCACTGACCACTCCAGAGACTGAGATGTAGGCTGAGGACCAGTGTGCTTGCTCGCTACTGAAAAAACCCACCTCAGAGGCCACAGTGTCTGGATTCCAAACACCCTGGACAAGGGGCAAGACACCTGTCATCCAAACGTGACTTGGGGACAGACAGAAGGCCATCATTCTGGGCCTTCCACCATGCCATGGAGCAACAGCACCCACGTCGGGACAGAGCATGGCACCCAGGGTACTAGTAACGGAGGTAACACCAAGTAACTGGGGTAACACTGTCAAGTAACGGGGGGTAAAAATGCAGAGTAACATGGGGGTAAGAACATTGCATAACTGGGGTAACAAAGAGTAACTGGGAATAACAGTGTTATGGGTTGAATTGTATCACCCAAAATATGTGTTGTAAATCCTAATCTCTGTGTCTGTGGTTATAATCCCATTTGGGAATGGGCTGTCTTTGTTATGTTAAGGAGGCAAGGTTGTTGTAGGGTGTATCTTGAGTCAATCTCTTCTGAGATATAAGAGAGATTAAACAAGTTAGCAGAGCAGAGATGGGGGAAGACAGAAGCCAAGCCACACGGAGATCGCCAAGGAACCGGGAAGCAGAAGCTGAAGAGACAAGGCCCTTCCCCCAGAGCCGACAGAGAGAAAGCCTTCCCCTAGAGCTGGCACCCTAAATTTGGACTCCTAGCCTCCTAACTGTGAGAGAATAAATTGGTGTGGGAAAGCCGTCCGCGTGTGGTATTTCTGTTACAGTGGCACTAGATGACTAAGACGCCTGGGGAGTAACCAGGAGCTAACAACCCCCAGTAACCAGGGGTAACGATATCAAGTACCCTTACTGGGGGTAACAATGCAGAGTAACCAGGGGTAACAATGTAGAGTAACATGGAGTAACAACATCACGTAACTAGGGGCAACAAGGAGTAACTGGGGGTAGCAATAATGGGCAACCAGGGGGTAACACCACCAAGTAACAACGCTGTGTGACTGAGGAGAGCAACACAGAGTAACTGGGGTAACAGCACGAGTAACCCGGGTAACACCATCGAGTAACCAGGGATAACAACACCCAGTAACGGGAGGACGGAGGGGTTATGCTGCTCTGGGGATGGAAACAGAAGTAAAAGTGGACATGCAGGGCACCACTGGCCAACCCTGGTGCTCAGACAAGTCCCATCAGTGCGGCCCCAAAGTCCACCTTCCGAGATGGCAGTGAACTCTGAAGTTTGGCACCCAGAGGGAACACTGGGCCGGAGACAGTGGGGGGCTTAAGGGTCTGGGTGCAGGGGTGCCAGGCTCCCAGTGTTGAGAACAGGGTGCAAGGCGGAAACAGGGACGAGGGCAAGGCTGATGGGGGAAGTCTAGGGCCAGGATGGGCGGTGGAGGCGGCCACCATGTAGGTCTGAGACCCGTTTCCTGCGGAGTTGTCACACCAGACACCGCACTGGACCCGAGTCTGAGGGTAGCCCTGGATTTCCTGGTCCTCAGCGGCCGGCGGGGCAGTGGGGCCCGCCTGGGGCTGAGGGACCAACGGACAAGGGTGCCTGGGGCACGGGCAAGGAGAACCTGGGCCCCATACAGGGCCCCAAGCAGTGGCAGCGCCCCGGCCTACGGGTTAGGGGCTCCCCCGAGCCCAGGACCCAGCGCCTGACCTGAGAGAAGACCCTGTCCACCCCGCCGCCCCCAATTCCCAGACGGCCTGGCGAAATCCTCCCACAGGGCGCAAAGGAACGCGCGACCGCGGGGACCCCGAGACCGGGCGGATTCCGAGGCCAGGAGGCCCAGAGCCGGAGAGGGGTCGGTGGAGAGTGGGACGCGGGGGCAGGCGGCGGGTGGGCGCGGGGAGCGCAGGGGTGGACTTGGGGGGCCGTGGCGAT